AACTCGTCTATCATGTATAATCATATTCCATATTCCATTACAACCAAAGCTGTTGGAGGCAGATATGTACGAGATGTTCATCCCCACGGTCTCATAATGTCACCCCTCAGGCTGCAACAAGTCCGGAGGCTGCATGAATTGGCCGAGCCTGGCAAGCGGCCATCAGCTGATCATCCCAAACGATCGCAAAAAATTGAAGGAAGTCAGCCGGGTAGACATGGAGGTCCCTTTGAAGCTTATGACAAATTGAGACAACGCAAGCAGGCTAAAAAGAAAGTGGAAGTTTTATCGTGAAATCGCAAAATACTCCGTAGTTCAAGCAAACCTAACCTGGCAGGTCGTTTCTTGCCATTCTTATCATGTTCCGTTCGGAGTTTGCAGTGAAAAGACTCTGTATTGGGTCCCAGGGTCCAAGGGTCCAGAACAAACAGGATTCTGAAGTCTCCCTGGACTTGATGAAATCACAGTATTCTAAGTACGTTTCAGTTGTCAAGTTGCGTTTCTCTGGAAATGAATTTGCAAATCGCCTCCGTAGGTGAGTCTGGCTGGTCGTCCATGCCGTTTTGCAAGCACTTGGCCTCCGAAATGACATGGCTGATGCTGCGTGTGCTATGCAGCATTGACATGACATCTTGCAGTCATTACAGCTTCAAAAACATCGGCAATATTGACACAATATTAAGGCCGGGTGATTCCAATTGGCAACATGACATCTGCCCTTTCACTGGGCAGCTGGGCCAGGAGCAGTGCGACCTCAGGAGCTGGGTGTTTATTGATAGCTGGGTAAACGAGCGAAGCATAGCTAAGCAGCTTATGTAAACAATTGTAAACATTCAGATCATTCATGAAATACGTGCTTAACGCACATGTGCATAGGTATTATCATGAACATGTATATAATATTATATATATAATTTAATCAATTAAATCAATTATATATATAATCATACTTCATCTCCACGTGTGTTATGCAATCATATGTCATATGTGTCCATAGGTGCTATGCAGTCAGATGTCATGTGTTCACATGTCACGTGTGTATTGATGTCAGATTCATCAACTCGCTCTCTTACCCTGTGACGTGTCTCGAGGTTCTGACGGAGCCGGCAGATTTCGGTGTCTTGTCCGTCTCAGACTTGCTCGTGGGTGAGCGTGGTTCAAAGAGACTGCCTGCCATACGAAAGGCTCTAAGTCTGTAAGTCTTTGACCGCAATTTCCAATCGATGAAGAACAGCATGGAATGAGTCTTTCTGTGCAGCATTCCGCAGTCGCGTCATTGTGCAAACATGTGCATCTGAGTTTGGATTGTTGAAATCAGATCAAGTTTTGGTGCAGCTGTGGTTTCAGAACTTGCCACAGTGATTGCAGCTGCATGTGTGCCTTTCGAGAATTTTCGCTCCAACAATACCTGAAGAATCCCACACACAAAATGTCCTTCTGCCGAAAGGAAGAAAGAAGCATCTGGTGCGTCTGCGCTGTTCAAATTAATTTCAACCATTCGTAGAGCACCTGAAAAATATCTCAGTCAATCATACAAAAACCCAAGGCAGCTGCAGAGAAGGAAGGACAAGCAGCTGTTTACTCAATACTAGTACATACTAGTACAAACAGTGTTGCCATCAGCCATCTGGCCATTCAGCTGAGTGAAAAACCGATGTCTGGCTTCCAGGATCACAGGTGCTGCAAGTGCTGTTCTGACTTGTCCTCTCAAAAATGACTATCAAAGCGAGCGGTTGACCATAGTAAGCACATGTAAGCACACACCATCTATTTCTGGTGATGACAATAGAGTGATGAAAGGATTCACCGGCTCCTCGAGAAACCTCCAAGGCTATCACTATGACCTCCATCACCGAAGAAGCCTCCAAGATCAGGCCGACGCTCGCAGTGCGAGGCATGCTGAGGCATGCTGAGGCATGCAGTGCAGCATGCACATGTGTGAACATTCCAAGTAAATGAAATGCTTTGAAATATTCCAATTTATTTCCTCGCGAACTTTCCAATTTGCCATAAGCTTTCCAAACTTGTGCTTCATGGAATCTGCATAAAATTTCATGAGACCCAAATACCTTTGAGAACAAAACAAGCCGCTGCCTAAATCCCTTGTCGCGGCTCTGCTCCGGCTCTGCTGAAATGTCTCGGCAATCGCAGGTGAGCATCAATGGGATAGTAATAATAATTTGAAACATTCGAACAAACCTGCGATCTATAGTATTTGCCCAGAGATGTCCAGAGGATCATGTTTCACGGTACCAGGCCCAGTGCTAGGCCCAAACCATGGGGTGAACATGGGAGGACAAGGTACAGTAACTCAAGAGTTTGGATTAGGAGGCGAAGCGCATGCCTTTGGATTTTTGATGATGGGAGCATACCTTGGAAAATGTTCAAGTTGTTGGGGCTCGCAATACTTATGATTGGTCTTCTTCACATGAGAAACTTTATCCTCACTCGCAAACATGTTGGCACATAGACCTAACAGCATTGTTTTCCTGGGTTTGCTTAAAAGAAATGATAGAACACTGGGCTACATTTATACCTTATATATATAATATCAAATTATACTTATTATATATATATATATTTATTATTACATATTATACATATCATATCATGGGCATCAAATTCCTGCTCCGCCATGGGCATCCCCACTGGACTTCGGCCTGGCAGAGCGAAATCGCCAGCAATGGCAGCCTGCGGCAAGAAATTGGAGCAGACTGTGTTCAACAATATGGGGTTTTCCTAAGTCATGGGGGTACCCCTAAACCATCCATGTATAGATGGATTTTCCATGAAATAAACCATCCAGCTATTGGGGTACCTCCATTTATGGAAACCAAAAATATGGAGATACTACAAAGCAAATAATATTGTATCAACTATCAATAGCTCTTATGAAAAACTATGAACTGAACTGTGAGTAAAGTTGAGAAAAATAATAAATCCACTATCACAATTATCAATTGGATTTAACTGGTCGATTTTGAGCTTACCCAACTTCTGGGACAGCTGTTGATGAGTTTCCAGAGGATGAACGAAAGTGCTGGAACGAAGAGTCGGCACGAAGGGAATACTTCTCAGGGATATGCAGAACTGAAAAAAAATTATTAGTAAACTAGTATACTTGAAATACTTACAGTATATGGGTGGATGTCATGTTATTTAGGATAAACATAGTAGACGACATTCAGGCCTATTAAACTGTATTAAACCATAGTTAAATCATACTATCTGTTACTATCTGGTGGAGTGTGAATTTTAACGCCCAAATCTGCGATCTCCACATCTCCGCCTCTTTGTCATAATGGGATCGCGGCCTCAAAGGCCTCGGCGTTGACAGGTATACATATAGGTATACCGTATGCCCCTAAATGGCCATGTTTATGCTGTTTAATGCTGTTTAATATTGTTTAACATTGTTAAACCATGTTAAACCACTGGTTTTGGGCTAGCCCATTTTCAAACCCAAATTGAGAAGAAAACTCAAAATCCAATGGGCCACGGGCCAAATTTTCCATTGTATACATATATATATATATATGTGTGTGTATAGATACATATATATATATGTACAGTATATATATATATATATATATGAGCAATCTCGAAAACCCTAGGTTCACGGAAAGGACATCCACAAATTTGGGAAGGTCCCATCGCTTATCACACGTTTGTACAATAATTATATGGTAAACTTGGGGGGTACCGCTTGCAGGAAACTGCTACATTTTATATATAATTCACAGAAATCAACGTCCAATTTGGGTATCGCTAATGTGGATATTAGAGAAATACAATGACATAACCTTGAAAAGGGGTATCGCAAATTTGGGAAGGTCCCATCGCTTACCGTGTGTTTTTAACAATTTCCATCAATTTCCATAAACCAATGTCCGTCCAATACATATTTAGTATTCCTGGGGTTTTTGCGGTGGCTCAAATAGATATAATAACATGGCCATAAAATGGGCCACCGTCCCAGCAGACCTTTCCAGCCCTCTACAAGCAACATGAAAAAATATCAAAGAAAAGAAACAGATTCTCACCCACTTAAAAGCATCCCAATTTCCACGTAAGCCATGGTTGGTCGGTTGTTCCCAGTTTTTTGGAAGTGGCTCAAGATGGCTTGGCTGAGGAGTGGGCAGCCTTGCTAAGGCTGTGGAACCTGAAAAGCTGCTACGCCGCCTCCCAAGGCTGGGAAGGTCTCGGAAATATACCCACGATGGGCCCACAGCAATATGTTCCAACCATCTCCAACCCAAATCTCAACTCCTCAGCAAAACCGTTGTCATTAGTTCAGGCTAGTGCCTGCTATCTGGTAAGGCTAATCACTTAAATGGCACCCGGCACATCTTGGTTCCAAAGGTACACCATTCCAACACATTGGTATATACGGTGTAGATAACTCTAGACCGAAGAGACTTAAGACAGCCGTGGCATGACAGGGACCACATACGCACTCTCGATATCTGTCGCATCAGTATCACAAGCAGAATTGGAGATGGGTCAAAACTAGGGTGCCTAAGGGGCCATCAAAATGGTCGTTTAACTGTTATTAATCTATTCATGTTAGTTTCAGTGAGGAATGAATACTACATAAAATAATATATCAATATATATCATATTGTATCAGGCACTACGGCACTTCTATCAACCCAATGATGGCCTCAAGGTCGACATGATCCAAAGGCAGGGAGCGCACTTTGCGACCCCGCAAAATCTATAGGACAAAGCTTCACTTGAAAGAGGTTGGGTTGGTCACTTAAATGCTGCCTGTTTGAAGCTGTTCGCAGTGTCATTTAACACTTGGCTGGATCAAAGCTCCGAAATTGTAGATGCCAGTCAAATGAGATACTGGGTGCTCGTTTATCCTAAAGCTTCTCCTGTTAGAACCAGCAACACAATGGGGCATGGCGAAGCATGGTTTGCTCACATTGTGCATTGTCCTTGGCCCAGTTGTCAAATCTACCCCCGAACAACTCATGTAACTCATGCTTTCGTCTGTCTCCAATGGCAAGTTCACGGGACCGCATCAAATCTTTGTGCGCTGTTTTCATCCTGGACTTGTTGCACATCGAGTTTGGCGATTTTCACCAGAGCTGAATTGCCGACCAAAGATTGAAGCGTGTCACTTTAACATGAGCATTCCTAAAGAGTGGTCTTTATATTTTTCGATTCAGATACCGAATCATGAGGCTGAATGGTCCTCGTCAATTGCCCTTCCATTTGGAAGAACCGTTGACCCAGCGATGGATTGCACACTAAAACCAATCAAAGGAGGCCTGCAGCTCGACCACGCTGAGACTTTCAGTGTTTTCGCTCTCAAGGAGTCGGCCCATCCAATGCCCTGGTGCAGTGGCTGTTCTGGACGGAATGCAAATTCTCGTGACGACATATTCAAAGAATTTCAAAGACATGACATGGGTGCCAAAAAAATGGGAAACCTAGAAATCCATCTCAAACTCACTCAATTATAACTCTTGTCCTTCTTGGTTGGTCTCCAATGTGGACCAGCACTGGCGTAAGGCTTCACGTAACGCTTCCCTATGCTTCCCTAACACCTGCAAATCTGCTGGCCTGACCACTCTTCGATGTCAAGGAAGGGGATCTCTGTTTTCCCAAGCAAGGAGTCTTGGAACCAACCTTCCCGGAAGACGCTGACCTAGGTTAGGAAAGGACAAGAAACATCAGAGCACGGATGACCTCGCCAGTTGAAGGATGAAGGCATCAAGACACGTGTAGCATAGAGAATTGTCTGTTGCTGCATATGTCCAGTATGATGTCTTAATATGTCTTAATGCTACCTTCAACAATGAAGTGTCTTCCAGTTCTCCTAAGCGAGCTTAGACTTGTGGAACTGCAAAAGACCAGGTCGAGGTAATGTACGGTACATAGGTCGTTAACATCAACAGATTGAGTCATGCAACCAATGATAGTAATAGCCCATGCACGAAACTCTGTACATTCAGCCAGGTGCATGTCATCAGCTCCAAGTGGCTGCCAAAGAGGTGTCAACTCGATGTATTGGGAAGTCGTAGTTCGCATCCCACTGGCAATTTTGCCCTGGGACCCTCTTTGTTTCAAAGGTCTGATCACCAACACTCCTGGGACGTGGGCCCGACATGGCCCGACACTCTCAGCTCTTGGGCACAAATCCGACATCGATCAATGGGCTGCAAATGCCCAAAAGCCAAGCTTCAAGACTGCGTAGTGATGGCCAGCAAAGAGCAACCTTGGTGATGACAAGCAAGCTACAAATTGAGTTTCCTGTTTAGTTTTTTTGTAAATGCTTCATAGTTAACTAAGTGAACGATTGGTCCGTGCTCATGGCTCCAATGGCATTCATGGCGGATCAGGGCGGGGCTCAGGGGCCGGAAGGTCTCTTGCTCGCAAGCGCACACTCAAGCGACCGATCACCGAGGTCTCCTCGGCATCCTCCTGCATGGGATGGGTGTCAGCACGGATCTAGAACTACCCGTGACAAAAAATGTGACAATATATATGTGATAGTAAGCAGCATATCATCATATATGGTTGTAGTAATATATGATCGTATCTGATTGCACATGTTGGTTTACGATATGTATGACTTTAAGTTTACATGGTAGCATGATAATAAATGATACTATAGTCATCCTGGAGAAGTTTTATCGTTGTTGTCCCATTCATGATGGTCCAACTATGATCCCGAGACGGAATGTTGATGATATCATGACATTCATGACCAATGTATATATATATATATGATACTGCTAATCACTTGCTGTTGCCATATGTTGCCATAGTGTGTTTCCAGTTATATATATATATAATTATATATAATTATATATAATTATATATAATTATATATAATTATATATAATTATATATAATTATATATATATAGTCTAGTGCAATTAGTGTGATGCTTCTGTTTTCCTCGTCGGACCTCGCCTTCTTTCCAAGGATGCTCTTGGAACTACCACAGCTGGTAAAGAGACTCACGATGGGCGCATCACGGCTCACCATCCTTGGAAACAGCTTCAATGGATGCAAGGGATACCCACAAACTGGATATGGGTCTGTCTAAAAATGGGGCATACCATGGCATACCCCAATGGCAATTTGAATGGGGAAAATGACGATGGAATACGATGGACCATTGGATTTAAGGCATCCTAGTTTCGGAGAACCCCTATGTTCATGTAACCTACATGTACTACGGTGGGATCAACGGTATCAACAGTAGGGATTCTCGGGATTCTCTGGTCCCAAATGATCGACATGTCGTTCCCACTGGATCCAAAGACCCCTCTGATCCTGATCTCCAATGACCTGCTGGACTCACTGGATTCCATCAGTATCAATGCCCAGTCACATGGATCACATGGCATTATTGGAGGACCCAGGAACAAAACAAACGTTGAACAGTTTTTCCCGAGAGCGTCTGAGCGCAGGGTTCTTCCAATAGTGGGGGTCTGTATCTCACCTTCTCATCTTCACACCTTCTCATCTTCACATCTTCTCTCACACCTTCTCATCTTCACATCTTCTCTCACACCTTCTCATCTTCACATCTTCTCTCCCACCTTCTCATCTTCACATCTTCTCTCCCACCTTCTCATCTTCACATCTTCTCTCACACCTTCTCATCTTCACATCTTCTCTCACACCTTCTCATCTTCACATCTTCTCTCACACCTTCTCATCTTCACATCTTCTCTCACACCTTCTCATCTTCACATCTTCTCTCACACCCTCTCATCTTCACATCTTCTCTCACACCTTCTCATCTTCACATCTTCTCTCACACCTTCTCATCTTCACATTCTCTCACACCTTCTCATTTCACACCTTCTCATCTTCACATCTTCTCTCAACACCTTCTCATCTTCACATCTTCTCTCAAAACACCTTCTCAATCTTCACACTCTTCACACCCTTCTCAATCTTTCACACCTTCTCTTCACACCTTCTCATCTTCACATCTTCTCTCTCTCTCTCATTCTCTCTCCTTTCTCTCTCTCCTTTCTCTCTCCTTTTTCTCTCTCTCGCCTTCTTCTTATCTTTCTCTCTTTAGGCCGAGGGTGGTACCGGCGGTGAGTCACGAAACGTCAACTCTTTCGCACGAAATGAGGGTCGATCGTCAAAAACTGAAGAAAAATTGCGATTTTACTTGTGCCGGAGCAACCCTTTCGCACGAAATTAGGGTCGATCGTTCGATCGTCAAAAACTGAGGAAAAATTGCGATTTTACTTGTCCCGGAGCAACCCTTTCGCACGAAATGAGGGTCGATCGTCAAAAACTGAGGAAAAATTGCGATTTGACTTGCCCCCGAGCAACCCTTTCGCACGAAATGAGGGTCGATCGTCAAAAACTGAGGAAAAATTGCGATTTTACTTGCCCCCGAGCAACCCTTTCGCACGAAATGAGGGTCGATCGTCAAAAACTGAGGAAAAATTGCGATTTTACTTGCCCCCGGAGCAACCCTTTCGCACGAAATGAGGGTCGATCGTCAAAAACTGAGGAAAAATTGCGATTTTACTTGCCCCCGAGCAACCCTTTCGCACGAAATGAGGGTCGATCGTCAAAAACTGAGGAAAAATTGCGATTTTACTTGCCCCCGAGCAACCTTTTCGCACGAAATGAGGGTCGATCGTCAAAAACTGAGGAAAAAATTGCGATTTTACTTGCCCCCGAGCAACCCTGGTTCCGCACGAAATGAGGGTCGATCGTCAAAAAACTGAGGAAAAATTGCGATTTTTACTTGTGTGTATAAAGTTCTGTGTGTAAAAGCTCTGTGTGTCAAAAGCGTCTGTGTGTAAAAGTGTTTGGTGTAAAAGTGTTTTGTGTGGCAAAATCGTCGTGTGTGTTAAAAGCGTGTGGTGTGTGTGTAAAAGTCTCTGTGTGTAAAAGTGTTTGTGTGTAAAAGCCTCTGTGTGTAAAAGCGTCTGTGTGTAAAAGCGTCTGTGTGTAAAAGCGTCTGTGTGTAAAAGCGTCTGTGTGTAAAGTAAAAGCGTCTGTGTGTAAAGTAAAAGCGTCTGTGTGTAAAAGCGTCTGTGTGTAAAAGCGTCTGTGTGTAAAAGGCTCTGTGTGTAAAAGCGTCTGTGTGTGTGTAAAAGTCTCTGTATGTAAAAGCGTCTGTGTGTAAAAGCGTCTGTGTGTAAAAGCGTCTGTGTGTCCAAGCGTCTGTGTGTAAAAGCGTTTGTGTGTAAAAGTGTCTGTGTGTAAAAGCGTCTGTGTGTAAAAGCGTCTGTGTGTAAAAGGCTCTGTGTGTAAAAGCGTCTGTGTGTAAAAACGTCTGTGTGTAAAAGGCTGTGTGTTTGTGTGTAAAAGCGTCTGTGTGTAAAAGTGTCTGTGTGTAAAAGCGTCTGTGTGTAAAAGCTTCTGTGTGTCAAAGCTTCTGTGTGTAAAAGCGTCTGTGTGTAAAAGCGTCTGTGTGTAAAAGTGTTTGTGTAAAAGTGTTTGTGTGCAAAATTGTCTGTGTGTAAAAGCGTCTGTGTGTAAAAGCTCTGTGTGGAAAAGTCTCTGTGTGTAAAAGCTTCTCTGTGTGCAAAAGCGTCTGTGTGTAAAAGCGTCTGTGTGTAAAAGCGTCTGTGTGTAAAGCGTCTGTGTGTAAAAGTGTCTGTGTGTAAAAGAGCCTATGTGTTAAAAGCGTTTGTGTGTAAAAGCGTCTGTGTGTAAAAGCGTCTGTGTGTAAAAGCGTCTCTGCGTAAAAGCTTCTGTGTGTAAAAGCTTCTGTGTGTAAAAGCGTCTGTGTGTAAAAGCGTCTGTGTGTAAAAGTGTTTGTGTAAAAGTGTTTGTGCGCAAAATCGTCTGTGTGTAAAAGCGTGTGTGTGTGTGTAAAAGTCTCTGTGTGTAAAAGTCTCTGTGTGTAAAAGTCTCTGTGTGCAAAAGCGTCTGTGTGTAAAAGCGTCTGTGTGTAAAAGGCTCTGTGTGTAAAAGCGTCTGTGTGTAAAAGTGTCTGTGTGTAAAAGAGCCTATGTGTAACAAGCGTCTGTGTGTAAAAGCGTCTGTGTGTAAAAGCGTCTGTGTGTAAAAGCTTCTGTGTGTAAAAGCTTCTGTGTGTAAAAGCGTCTGTGTGTGTAAAAGTCTCTGTGTGTAAAAGTGTTTGTGTGTAAAAGTGTTTGTGTGCAAAATCGTCTGTGTGTAAAAGCGTCTGTGTGTAAAAGTCTCTGTGTTAAAAGTCTCTGTGTGTAAAAGTCTCTGTGTGCAAAAGCGTCTGTCTGTAAAAAGTTCTGTGTATGAAAAACTTTACAAAAATACGATGCAAACTATTGTCTTGTACTAGTCATATATTGTCTTGATACTACTCTTCTCGTCTGCCTATAATACATCTTTAATATAGTGTCTCCATACTAACAACAGAAGACTCTGCTCCTCTACGCTCTCGGGCCATCCGTCGTCTAGTTGTTGGAATCTCTCCAGCTGCAGCCAAGATTCTGAGATTGGTTGTGCTTTGCCTCAAAAGCAGACCTCACTTGAACGATCTCAGGATTGCCAACATAGGAAGTGTGGTTGGATTCAAAGGTTGGCCACACGCGAAGGCTCGACATGTGGTCGGAGGTTTGCACTAATTATAGATTCTGTCCCATAAACTGATGGGTGTGTCATGAGTCATTACCCCAAGCTCCTTTCTCCTGACAGGATAGATTTCTTGAATGGATTTGGGACTGCCACATTGTTGGACATGAAAGTGTGGGCGAAAAGTGCGGGCTGGTGAAATATGTTTCCCTTTGGATATCTGTTCAATGGCAACTTGGCCACAAGGGAGCTCGGGATGACCCTTGCCCCATCTTGCCCCGTATGCCATGCTGTAATCATTAATCAATGGCTGGGACAACTAGCCATTGAAACTGGGTCACTGTCTGTGTGTGATGCTCCACTTCATCAAATCAAATGCATCTCAAAGCTGCTGATGAAAACAAACACAATCAAGTGCCAGATGGGCAGAGTCAAAACAACAGCTTCAACTTCGGGGAGACTGCAAACTCCCGAGGCCTATTTGCAACCCTTTGGATATGCGATATTGCGTACGCCGTACGACGTACGATATCATATTCGTTAGATTAGGGATTTCACAAAGGTTAGTGTTTTCGACTTTTTTGGTGTTTTCGGTATGGATTGGCGGAGGATATGTTTTTTGTTCAATCCAACATGGAAGTGCCACCATGAATGTGTTGAATGTATGATTCTGAATGGCAAGAAGATGCAAGAAGTTCAAAGCTTTTGTGTTTTGAGTTTTGGCCGGGAGTTGCAGCAGTAGTGCGGGATCTTTTGCGCATTTGAATTTTAATGAAAATTGTTCCAAACCTCACTCGGCCAAGAGAATGCTAGACTTCCAGTAGTTCAGGGAATATAACCAATTATTTAAGAATAAACTAAGCATACTCAGTGTTTACTCTTGCGAACTGTCCAAAAGTGACTATTAGGGACACTTGGCTGCCATCAGTCAGCTTCTCCCATACCAAGGGCCACCAAAGGATTCCAAGGATAAGCCATGAAGGTTTTCCGATTTTTTTCTGAAAAGGGGGCGGCGAGGTATTCCAGTTGTTCGGCGAGAAATTCCTTTTGGGGCGGCGGCGAGCTCTTCCTCGAAGAGCTCTCCACACCTAACCCGTTTGATTTTGGCCCCAATTGACCAATCCATCTCCACTTTGGGATGCCTGCTGTTGGTTGCAAAGCGGAGAGCTCTTCTTCGAAGAGCTCTCCACATTCCCTTTCCAGTAGCACTGGTTGCTAATGTGCAAAGTTGGTTGGGATCACCAAAGCTAGGTATGTTTGGTACTGGTTTTGAATGTTTTGAAGTACTGGTGGAGAGCTCTTTGAGGACTAGATGATACTCCACAAAGTGGAGAGAGATTGTTCCCACGATGTCATGATGTCTCGCTTCCAAGTCCTTATCCTGGACGGTGCCTTTTCAGCATCACCCAGTTGGAGTAGACAGATGTACAGTAGTATATAATATCAAATCATGTTGGAAAGGGAGAGAAGATTCAAGCTGCAAAGCAAGAAAGACATCAGGTTTAGCACCTTGGCAAGGTGGAAAGTTTTTCAGGGCAAGATGTTGAGGCCAAGAAGTGGTTGGTTGAAATCCCGCTGGAAAGGAAGAATGTCAGGATGAAAGCAAATTGAGTTTAGCAGCAGCAGCAGCAGCAGCAGGGGTTAGTGGTCTAGTATGTGTGGAAGGAAAAGGATAATTAAATGACAAGAGTGTTTGAGATATTTAGAGTGGGTAACGTTCAACTGTCTTGTTGATAGAGGAGATGGTTCTTTGCGGACGAGCATGAAGCGACAGGAATGTGTTTGAATGTGTTTCATATTCTGTGCAGACTAGCCATGTCTCTGCACTATTTCCCTTGAGTTGCTCTGTTTTCTAAAGTCTAATTACAACTCACAACTGACACATGTTTAAAACTCAAAACACACAACATTTTATATATATAGTTTCTGTAAAAACATGAGCCCATTCGAACAATTTCAACACCAACACATCTGGAACATTTGTTCCCCTTGAGATAAAAAGATCATGTTGCATCATATTGCCGCATGCCCATGTGCTATAGGAATATTTGAAAACACCAAACATGTTGAAAACACTAACTTATTCGTATATCATCTATAATTAATACGTGTCTGGTCGAAGTTTTGCCCTATTTCCATCAATTTCCCTCCTTTTTTGGCTGTGCCATGCTCTGCCAAGGTACCTTTTCGCCTCCAGCATTTGATCCAAGCGTTGTTTCTGCAGCTCGACCCGCCGCATCTTCTCCTCTTCTTCTCTCTCGAGCAACTCCTTGGACACGACACTGCAACTGCTGCTGCATGGGAGTTCCATGGCGTTCTCATATTGGACTCTGCGCTGTCCTTGTCAAATACCACGTGTCATAACAATATCATACATTATATCATCATCTTATAACCCCAGTCATTTCCATCGGTTTTGTCCATGCAGTAATCCCCAGTGAAATTCATTGAAACAGTGTGTATACTGCAATCCCATATAGCTTAGCCATCAACCACCAGGGATGGACCGTTCAACTGGCGTGGCTTGGTTTAGCATGGCTGATTTGAACATGGTTTGTTACCGGTTGAAATCCAATCCTCTATTGGACAGTCTGTTTTGGAAAAATGCAATGCGCAGCTACATATATATATAATATAGCTAACCTGGCTCCAGCTGACAACCAAGCCACCATCTGCGCTCGACGCTCCTCCTCCTGCTTCTGCCTGCGAGCCTCTTCCTGCGCCCAGCTTCAAGGTGACTCGAATGGCTTTGTCGTGCTTCGTCTCAATGCAAAAATTGTCGGGGTTCTTTTCTGGAAGAAAACAAGAGTAACTGTCTTTAACATGTCTTTGCATTGTGCAGGATATGAAGCATGATCTGGAACGACGATAGTTGAGGTGGGCTGTGATCTCGACTCTCTTTTTATCTATCATTAATGGTATACCAATGGTCTTCATCCACAAAACGACTCTCAGCTATTCACAGCTGAGCCATTGCATTGTTGCATTCGCCAACCTGCTTCAGTTCTTCCTCTTCGCGTCTTGTGCGCTGATGGACTGACTCTGTCTGGCGAGTGTAGGAAGTCATCAACTTTCGGTGGCAAACTTCAAGGAATTTGAAGGTCTTCTCTGCCTGTCCGGAAGGAACAATTCCAAGAACGATCTACAGGAGGAGCATGGGTAAAACACATTTCGCTACATTACCTGAGCATACCTGAACCATCCCAGCCATCCACATGGTTCAAAGACGCAAAGACACCCAAAGCAAAGCCAATTCCGCCTCGGGGTGTCCATTCTTGTCAGGATGAAACAGCAAGCGCTGTCTGTTGAGTTTCCCTTTCAATCTCTGCAGAAGCGGATCAGTGGGGTCCATTGATCTGCGACTTGCAGGGGGGTCCAAATCGAAGAAACCCCACATTTCATCCAGGTCGATCCTCAGCATATGAGACGTCTCAAGGGTCTAAGGAAACTCTGGGAACCTTGAGAACATATGTATATATATATATATATAATGACAAAATTATAATAACATATAATCATAATATTATAAATTATAAACAAATGAAGTGATTGGAGAATCCAAGAGCCGCAAGAACTGAGGGTTCTTGGGTTCCCTGTACGAATTCATCACAATGGTTAAGGCCAGATCGAAGAGCAACCGACTAACTGTACGTTTGCAGTACGAACACTCGCCTGTAGATGGAACAAATATCGAAGAAAAAAACTAGTCACGTAAATCTTTAGAACACCTGCGAAAGGCTTTGTTTGAAAGAATCACCCAATTTCCAGCCATCCAGCCATCTTTCTCCTCAAGATTTGACTTCCAAGGTTCGGCTCCACTCTGTCCACATAAGACCGCAGTGCGAGGATCTTGTCCACAGCCTGGCCAGGGGGCCAGGGTCATAGTCATGGCCATTGGATGGTGCCAGAGGTATCAAGGAACCACAAAATTGGTGATGTTTAGAATTGAAGCATCATGTGGGGAGCGGTCAATCAGTCCCATACAGGCCATACATGGCCATGCTATATCAATTTTATCAACGTAACCATAACCTCCCATAACTGGGGGGTTGCCAAGAGTAAGAGTTCGTGGGAGTTTTGCGCTCATATAAAAACAGTTTGTAAGTTAGGGGTAGTAGGTAGTTAGGGGCCATCATTTTTGGAATTGGATCAGATGCCAGTTGCTGGCTGCTGGCTTGTGGACTTATGGACAACCTGTGGCGGTGCTACGGCTACGACTTGAACTTCAGAACGGCAGAAAGGCCGAGCCAAAACAGCCGCTCCAAGACTCCAAGGTGCGGATTCACAATTTGTTCGGGCAAAGCATTCCCTTTGATCATTGGATTCAGGCTCCAAAACAAGGTACCAAAACACCCGTCCCTATAATTAGTTGTCATGCTTTGCATTCAAGACTACAACACCATCCATTTTGGTACCCAGATAAGTTTGAGCCACAGCCATTTGGGAGCGCTTCAGCAGCTAGTGGGAGGTACCAAAAACATCCAAAGACCCACATGCGCCTTGGCAGCCTGTTCCTCGCTCATTCTGGTGCCCACCAGCTGCCGTGCTTGACTCCTGCGAAGGAATGGACTCAATAGACAAATAGACCATGACAACCAGTTGCGGCTGGACTGGTCAGGAGTACAAAGTCGGAAATCGTCACTATAGGAGTTGTTGGACAAGCTGAGCCTTCGTGGCAAGGGGGCTGGTGCATGCTTGATGCACAAATTTTGTCTACGCGAGTCTTCTGAGGAATGAACCCTTCACTTCGCGGGACACCGGCAGGTTAAGATGGCTAAAGCAACCAGGAATCCATTTAAAATCCGTTGGAATCCTATGGAATCCTGAAAAGCCTATATCACAGACCTTCCAAAACCATCTGATTTTAGCATGAGAAGTTATCAGGTCATATCAGGTCCATCCCAGCTCATCCCAGCCCTACCTGGGGCTCAAGGGCTTCGGTTTTGGCACTTTCGCCGGCGGCCTCGTTGGCCTCGTTGGCTTCGGCACGCCCCCCGAGCCACCTGAGCCACCTGAGGGCGCTGAAGCTGCCGGAGCTGCCGGAGCCGGGGGCGCTTCCCGTGGCGCTTTGGGCGCACCTGGTGGCGCTTTGGGCGCCCCCGGTGCACTGAAGAACTGGATGGAGATGGATGGAGTCCCGTGGAGTGACAGTGGGTGATACTTGATCTGGGCACATTGGGCACTGGGCCCTAGGGGAACATCTTTCAAGTGTCTGGTAGCTGGTAAGTTGCAACTGCGACTTTTCAACAGGCCAATGCTCAATGCTCCCTGCGAGTCGGCAAAAACAAACAAATGTAACATACCATATTATCGAAATATGTTACAGTTGACTTCAAACTTCAAACCTTCAAGATGCTGCCTAAAAAAGTCTGGTCATGCCCACCATGTGCAGAAAAAAAACACAAGCACATGACATGTGGAGGCAAAACGCACAGCCTTGCTGCCCTTCCTCAAGCTTGCTCTTGCCAAAGAATAGCACGGGGAAGGAGCTGAGACTTCCAATCCTACCGATGGACGTGACCATGCACAATCAGTTGCTCCCTGATCATTCAACAGTTCGATAGCGGCATAAGGCTGCCACAGGAGCGCCACAAAGTAGGTTGACAGGTCCATACCTAGGCTTCACAGCGGTTCATTCGGGGCAAAACCAGGACCAATACCTTTACAGTACCTAACGGACCCAATATGACTCAATCATTCTTGTGTCCAACCTTCCGAAGCCTTCACATTGCCTTCATTGCCTTCCAGAATTGTTCATGCCTTTTCTCGGAAATTCCCATCGAAGCTGAAAGGATCCACTGCGACATGGATCCCACGGTGCAATCAAGTTGCCCCTTAAGTCGCTCCAAAGGTCCCATGCTTCATCTGTGAGTCCAAGACTTGCCAGGATACCTGGGAAGTTGTTCGATGTTGTTCGGTCCGACAGGTGCAACATGGTGCAACATGGTGCAACATGGTGCAACATGGTGCAACATGGTGCAACGTAACATGGTGCAACATGGTGCAACATGGTGCAACATGGTGCAACATGGTGCAACGACTCAAGTGGGGACATGATGTCAGATCCCATAGATCCCTGGAATTACTGTGCTGCTTCAATTGAAAATCTACAGGAAACATCAGGAAACCAATAGGAAACCAATAGGAAACCATGTATTACCAGATCTCTTGTGAATTGGTCCCTTCAATGAACGCCAACGCCTGGTGACCTCTGATTCTGCCGTGCAACCCAGCAGTATCAGGACGATGAAAGCCACCACCACCAGGGCGATCCGGTGTAGCCACTCAGTACAGCTGGACATCCTACGGTGCCCAACAGGTCTTGCATCAGGCAGTTTCAGATCAGAAGTGGTCTTCCCTAGGAGTTGAACACTCCCGTTCATGGCACGTCTTCACAAAGGCTCTGGTGTGTGTTTCCATGTTTTTCCCCGTCCTTACAATGCCGCCACGTGCATGGCACAGGCATTCGGATCGCAACTAACAACTAGTTTGTGAATGCAGAAGCTGGTTCTGCTGAACAGTGAATTTTAAGTGGCGCGCGTTTCAACGAATTGAGATCGTCAGCAAAAAAATGGGGCTGAAGTCCAATGCTGCAGCCTGATGTATGATGCATCTGTTTTCTGTGCCTATTCAGATGTCTGTGCTTTGGAATCTTCTCGCTCCAAGGTGACTCTTTGGTTTCATTTCCATTGCATGCCAGAGTGCTCGGGCTGCAAAGCTTCAGAGGTCTGATCTCGGCTCTTCGCCAGATGGGGTGGTTATTTTACTGGGGCGATAATTTAAAATGATAGGGCGGAAACACCGCTCTGTGCGATTCGTTTGCACTTGCCCTATTGGCTCATCTTGGGAGAAAATCTTCCAGACTCCAGACTAAAGCTCGGAATAGCACAGAAAAAGCAGCCGAAACATGAATATGATCCATAAGAGCTGCGTCTTACCATCTTGACTATCATTCTGGGTAGGCAAGGAAACCTCAATATGCGTGGATGGAGAAATTCCGCGAATCTCCAGGAACTATCAGAATTCAATAAAATTCAGGGCCCACTACGCGTCTTGTTTTTGTCCACTTGGCATTGACAAATCTGCCATGATCTGCCCACATCCACTAGAGCAGATATGCTGAGGACAAACATGCTATCTGGTCTTCTTCATGTCAAGTTGTCAAGACCACAAGAAGATACAAGAAGTGACAAGAGATGGTCAAGGCCTAAAAAGAACTCTTTACTGAAAAAAAGGAGTGGTTCCTGGGGCGCCCTAAGTGCCAGAAAAAAAAGTGATATTCAACAAAACCTACTTTTTGAAGATCCGGGATGGGAAAGGCTTGAAAATTTGAAATATCGCAATTTTTGGTCATTTCAGGTGTTCTCAGGTTCTTCACACGCTTTGGCCGCCCTTTCCATTACATAATATGAAAAAGGCAATCTTGGCTGAAGATATGAAAAAGGCAATCCCAAAAAATTGGGTGATATGCCTGAGCTAAACTCTCACAACAGTTGAAAACAGGTTTGCAACATATTTCTTGTAGAAACAAAAAACGAAACACAAATATCGCGGAAATTTGCGGGAATATCGCGGAAATTTGCGGGAATATCGCGGAAATTTGCGGACATATGTTTCAACCATTTTAAAACCAACATTTCCGGCATGTGTGGCCATGGCCCAAAAATTTCAAGATCCCGCCTCTCTATCTTTTATTTCCACAGAACCAATTCTCCGAATCCATGGCGCCCAGACTTAAAAGAGAACGAGGCTGTGGGTGCCGCAATTTGGCAAAATCATTTATCGCATGTTGTTTGGTTTTATCGCAATTTTTGTTTTCCATCGCGTTTTTTCAAACCAAGATGGTCCATCGCGTTTTTTTCCTGCACTCGGGTTTCGCAGGTTGGCAATAATACCTTAAGATCTTTCAAGATCCCATTCTGCCTCATAATGGCTGCTCCATGAGAAGCCCGGTTTGCAAAGCAAATTAATCGTGAAACCAAATGCACACGGCCAATCCTCAGGCAGAAATTCTGCCTGAGCAGTTCTGCTCGCACCTTCAAAGGGCCTACTGACTCACTGCTTCGTGATCCAGAAAGCAACTACCTGCATGAAATAATGGGAGATTCAGTAATGATTGAATAGCTGTAATTATTTGATCAAATGTCCGACATATCTTGTGGGATTGTACAAAAAGCCCGTATCTTTTTAAATGTCCCCAAATCATGTTATCGTTTTTTTTTACTCTTATCGTTTTCTCAGGTGGTGGGCTCTCTGTACTTGAAATGTGTGTTTTTTCCACCTTTCTGTGGGTGTGAAAGCAAATGTAATCTGTTCCTTTCATGTTCTTTTCATTTTGATTTCATGTTGTATTCATGTCCCTTCATGATCCTTTCATTTTGCATTATTTTCCTCTCATGTTCCTTTCATGTTCCTTTAATGTTCCATTATTTCCTTTTCATGTTCCTTTCATTTTCTTTTCATGTTCCGTTATATAATTATATAATGTTGCTTTATATTCCTTTCATGTTCCTTTCATGTTCCTTTCATGTTCCTTTCATCTGGCATTCATGTCCCTTCATTTTCCGTCGCTATGTATCAAACATACAAGTCTTCGAAAGGTGATATGTTCAAACCGATCAGGTGGATATCAGCCCAAAAACTCGCGTTTTCATCATATTTCGTTATCGTTTTTGTTATCGTGTTGCTACCGTTTGGGAGGCCTGTGCAGGTTGCCATCTTCAGGGTTCATGAACATGTACATGTATAAGTTCGTTATCGTTTTTTTTTTTACTCTGATCGTTTTCTGGGCCGTCAATGCATTGGTAGTGCTAAGGGGCAAGCAAAGCTAAATGAAAGGCTCGGGGTTATTATACTGTCCCTTGTGAATATGAACAAATAGCAGATTAACATGTCACGGAACTAGTGTATTCTCAATCTAGATGCACTCCAAGCACAAAAGACCCTCTGATATCAAATTCAGTGGCGTTGCCAAGAAGGACAAAGCTTTTGATTTTCTCGGCACAATTCCTCTTGCAAAATGCAGCTTTCCGCTTTTGCATGTTTCCTAGAGCAACAAAATGAAGCATACTATGTTCAATGAATTGTGGTTGCAGCCTGATGTTGTGAATCCATTGTCAGTAAATGAATATGGGCGAAGATTTTCTTTAGGATTTTTTTTTTTTGGTTTCCTATTAGTTTTCTTCCATTTTCCATTAGTTTTCCTTCATTTTTTAATAGTTTTCCTATATGGGCGAAGATTGTTTTTAGGATTTTTTTTTGTTGTTTTTTAGGATTTTTTTGTTGTTTTTTGGTTTCCTATTAGTTTTCTTCCATTTTCCATTAGTTGTCCTTCGTTTTTTAATAGTTTTCCTTCATTTTCTATTAGTTTTCCTTCATTTTCTACTAGTTTGCATTCATTTTCTATTAGTTTCCCTTCATTTTCCATTACGTTTCCTTCATTTTCCAATAGTTTTCCTTCATTTTCCATTAGTTTCCCTTCATTTTCCATTACTTTTCCTTCATTTTCCATTACTTTTCCTTCATTTTCCATTAGTTTTCCTTCATTTTCCAATAGTTGTTCCATTAGTTTTCCATTGGTTTTCTTTCATGTTCCATTTTCCATTAGTTTTCCTTCATTTTCTATCAGTTTTTCTTTATTTTCCAATTGGTTTCTTTCATTTTCCGTTAGTGTTCCTTCATTTTCCCTTAGTTTTCCTTCATTTTCCATTAGATATCTGCATAAAAGCCAAAACGGCCAAGGCCAAAAACCAAGTGAAACCAAAGCCAAAAGCCAAAAGCCAAGCGAAGCCACAACCACCAGAAGCCAATACACACCAGATCCAACAAGTGTCCTGAAACAAGGGTTTTCAATGATGGAAAAGGGCTAGTCCGGACACTTGTTGAAAAGAGTTTTAGTTCCTCTCGCACAAGCATGCATAGAAACCCACGAGTAAACGTCTGAGTTTCTTGCAACAATTGCTCAACCCAAATGACATGAATATAGCTGGAGTCCAGATTCAACAAGTGTCCTGACATGCGTTTTTTTTCCCTAAAAGGGCTAGTTAGGACACTTGTTAATGGGTGCGCATTTTTTTGGGGATTTTTTTATTTTGTTGTTTGTTTTTTTTTAGTCGTCCAGGCTCCCTTCCTTGGTTTTTGCAACTAAAATCACTCATTTGCTGCATTTTGTAGCTAAAATCTCTCATTCGCACTGTTCATCAATTTTTCGACTGGTTTCAGTTTTTTTTTCAATGGTTTCTATCGAGTTTTCTTCAATTTTTCTATGGTTTTCTTCAATTGTTCTATGGTTTCTTCGATATTCCATGGTGTTCTTCCTTTTTTCAATGGTTTTCTTCATTTTTTCTATGTTTTTCTTCAATTTGTGCATGGTGTTCATTCAGTTTTCACTTCTTTTCATTTCTGGTTCCAGAGTTGTTCATTGATTTTTACATGGTTTTCATTGTTTTTTATTGAAGTTTTCATTTATTTTTGGAAATACACGATGTGCAAACTACAAATTGTAGATGTAGAAAGGTATATATATGCATGACTAATCATGACTATATGTATATGTAGATCAGTGCGTTTACACGTGTATTTAATATATATATATATATGCAGGGTTTGGTTTAGGATTTATTAGAATTTATTTAGGGTTGGCTTAATGGTTTCTTTTGGATTTGTTTAGGATCTTCATTTTCCAATAGTTTTCCTTCATTTTCCATTAGTTTCCCTTCATTTTCCATTATTTTTCCTTCATTTTCCATTACGTTTCCTTCATTTTCCATTAGTTTTCCTTCATTTTCCAATAGTTGTTCCATTAGTTTTCCATTGGTTTTCTTTCATGTTCCATTTTCCATTAGTTTTCCTTCATTTTCTATCAGTTTTTCTTTATTTTCCAATTGGTTTCTTTCATTTTCCGTTAGTGTTCCTTCATTTTCCCTTAGTTTTCCTTCATTTTCCATTAGATATCTGCATAAAAGCCAAAACGGCCAAGGCCAAAAACCAAGTGAAACCAAAGCCAAAAGCCAAAAGCCAAGCGAAGCCACAACCACCAGAAGCCAATACACACCAGATCCAACAAGTGTCCTGAAACAAGGGTTTTCAATGATGGAAAAGGGCTAGTCCGGACACTTGTTGAAAAGAGTTTTAGTTACTCTCGCACAAGCATGCATAGAAACCCACGAGTAAACGTCTGTTTTTGCAACAATTGCTTGACATGAATATAGTTGGAGTCCAGATTCAACAAGTGTCCTGACATGCGTTTTTTTTTTCCTAAAAGGGCTAGTTAGGACACTTATTAATGGGTGCGCATTTTTTTGGGGATTTTTTTATTTTGTTGTTTGTTTTTTTTTGTCGTCCAGGCTCCCTTCCTTGGTTTTTGCAACTAAAATCACTCATTTGCTGCATTTTGTAGCTAAAATCTCTCATTTGCACTGTTCATCAATTTTTCGACTGGTTTCAGTTTTTTTTCAATGGTTTCTATCGAGTTTTCTTCACTTGTTCCATGGTTTTCTTCAATTTTT